TCTAAGCTCTAGGCCTTGTGGGTCTTTACAAGAAGGTATTTTAAGTTTTTACTATATGTACATATAGTGAAATGCAATGACCCCCCGGGCGGGGCCGATTTTGACTCCAGGGCTATAATTTGAACAATCTTAGTAAGGGTCTACAAGACAATGCCTTATGCAAAATATCTAAGCTCTGGGCCTTTTGGATCTTACAAGAAGGTATTTTAAGTTTTTACTATATGTACATATAGTGAAATTCAATGACCCCCCGGGCGGGGCCGATTTTGTTTCCAGGGCTATAATTTGAACAATCTTAGTAAGTGTCTACAAGACAATGCCTTGTGCAAAATATCTAAGCTCTGGGCCTTTTGGTCTTTACAAGAAGGTATTTTAAGTTTTTACTATATGTACATATAGTGAAAATCAATGACCCCTGGGGCGGGGCCGATTTTGACCCCAGGGCTATAATTTGAACAATCTTAGTAAGGGTCTACAAGACAATGCCTTATGCAAAATATCTAAGCTCTGGGCCTTTTGGATCTTTACAAGAAGGTATTTAAAGTTTTTACTATATGTACATATAGTGAAATTCAATGACCCCCCGGGCGGGCCGATTTTGACCCCAGGGCTATAATTTGAACAATCTTAGTAAGTGTCTACAAGACAATGCCTTATGCAAAATATCTAAGCTCTGGGCCTTTTGGGTCTTTACAAGAAGGTATTTTAAGTTTTTACTATATGTACTTATAGTGAAAACCAATGACCCCCGGGGCGGGGCCGATTTTGACCCCAGGGCTATAATTTGAACAATCTTGGTAGAGGTCTACCAGACAATGCCTTATGCAAAATATCTAAGCTCTAGGCCTTCTGGGTCTTTACAAGAAGATTTTTTAAATTTATTCTTATAATTCCTTTTGGTTGCCATGGCAACCAGATTTCTGCATGGAATGAAATTCTTTGAACAACTTTGGGAGCCCTTCACCCAAGGATCAATCCTGCCAAGTTTGGTTGAAATTGGACAAGTGGTTTTTCACAAGAAGATCTTTTAAGTTCACTATATAATCTATATAACACACACACACACAAACAAACAAACACACACACACACACACACAGGTGAATCGCTATATGCCACCGCATCGCAGATGCTGCGGTGGCATAAAAACGTGTTTTAACATTTTCTTTTAATTATCATACATTTCCTCATAACCATGTAGCTTTAACAGTGTTTTATTATTTTATATAACATTACATTAATTGATAAATGTATTTATTAAAGGCCCATTATGACCCAGAAAGGCTTTTATTTTCATTCCTTAAAAGATTTTTATTTTTTTGAAGTAATTTCATAGTTTCCAAAAAGTTACTCATTAGCCAATTACATGAATCAGGATTTTCTGTTGCTTTTTGACAATTAGTACTGTTATAGTAATTAAACAATTTGTATAGAAGTCAAAATACTACATTGTTTACATTTTGCTATTTAATGACAAATAATTTTATACTTGGCCTTAATTTTTTCAGGTAACAAGCATCCTTCATGCTTTAAAACTATTATTTCAAAGTTATAAAACTCATGCTTGCCCTTTCCAAAGAAGTAAAAAATTATTAGGCATAATGAACCTGTAAGAATAGCAGTAACTCCATCAGTAATACAAAAATATATGAGCAATAATGAAAGACCATGCAGAATAAAAACATTCCAGTGCAATATATAATACCTTTTATTAATACATTTTAATATACACCAGTCAGATAGTCAAAAACAATTTAACATAAAATGTAAAAACAGCGTCTTTCAAATAGAATTATGCCCCTGCCTTGATTGTTAGATCAGTTGTACCCCTGCATCTATTTGAAAGACACTGGTAAAAGGAAGAAAAACTAGAACTATCACTAAATGTGATTAATACCCCCACAAGTCTGCTTCGGAAATGAGGATGTTACTAGTAACAGAATACCTTGTAAAAGAATTGAAACATAGAGTTATGGTTGTGGGCAATTAAAGATAATTGTGGTTCATGTATGTTGCATTTCCTTTCAATGTGGTTGGCCATTGATGAAGTTTAATTGAATTACTCTGTAATAAGTCCAGAAAGACAAAGAAAAAGAACAAAGGGCAATAACTCTATAAATACTGAAGATAGAGTTATAGTTCTTGTGCACTGCACTTCCTCTTATTATGCTTGACCATTGTATGAAGTTGTTTTGGATTCCAACCAGTACGTTTTAAGTTATGCTCCGGACAAGGAAAAGTATCAAAGGGCAGTAACTCTGTATTTTGTCAAAATGGAGTTATGGCTCTTGTGCACTGCACTTCCTTTGAATGTCCTTGACAACTGTATGAAGTTGTACTGAATTCCAAACAGTAGTTTTCAAGTTATGCTCTGGACAAGGAAAAGTAACAAAGGGCAATAACTCTGTAATTAGTCAAGATGAAGTTATGGTTCTTGTGCACTGCACTTCCCCTTATTGTGCTTGACCATTGAATGAAGTGGTTTTGAATTCCAACCAGTAGTTTTCAAGTCATGCTCTGGACAAGGAAAAGTAACAAAGGGCAGTAACTCTGTAATTAGTCAAGATGGAGTTATGGTTCTTATGCACTGCACTTCCTCTCAATCTACTTGACCATTGTATGAAGTAATAATGAATTCCAACAATAAGTTTTCCAGTTATGGTCCGGACAAAAGAAAGCAATGGAAAAGTAACAAAGGGCAATAACTCTGTAATTAGTCAAGATGGAGTTATTGTTCTTGTGCACTGCACTTCCCCTTATTGTGCTTGACCATTGTATGAAGTTGTTTTGAATTCCAACCAGTAGTTTTAAAGTCATGCTCTGGACAAGAAAAAGGAACAAAGGGCAGTAACTCTGTAATAAGTCAAAATGGAGTTATGGTTCTTGTGCACTGCACTTCCTCTCAATGTGCTGGACCATTGTATGAAGTTATAATGAATTCCAACAATTAGTCTTCAAGTTATGGTCCGGACAAAAGAAAGCAATGGAAAAGTAATAAAGGGCAATAACTCTGTAATTTCTTTAGATAGAGTTATGGTTCTTATGCACTGCACTTCCTCTCAATGTGCTTGACCATTGTATGTAGTTATATTGAATTCCAACCATTAGTCTTCAAGTTATGGTCCGGACAAAAAAAAGAAGGCAATGGAAAAGCAACAAAGGGCAATAACTCTGTAATTACTTTAGATAGAGTTATGGTTCTTGTGCACTGCACTTCCCCTTATTGTGTTTGACAATTGTATGAAGTTGTTTTGAATTCCAACCAGTAGTTTTCAAGTTATGCCACGGACAAGGAAAAGTAACAAAGGGCAATAACTCTGTAATTAGTCAAGATAGAGTTATGTTTCTTACGCACTGCACTTCCTCTCAATGTGCTTGACCATTGTATGTAGTTATATTGAATTCCAACCATTAGTCTTCAAGTTATGCTCCGGACAAGGAAAATGCAACGGACAAAAAAAAAGCAATGGAAAAGCAACAAAGGGCAATAACTCTGTAATTACTTTAGATAGAGTTATGGTTCTTGTGCACTGCACTTCCCCTTATTGTGTTTGACAATTGTATGAAGTTGTTTTGAATTCCAACCAGTAGTTTTCAAGTTATGCCACGGACAAGGAAAAGTAACAAAGGGCAATAACTCTGTAATTAGTCAAGATAGAGTTATGTTTCTTACGCACTGCACTTCCTCTCAATGTGCTTGACCATTGTATGTAGTTATATTGAATTCCAACCATTAGTCTTCAAGTTATGCTCCGGACAAGGAAAATGCAACGGACAAAAAAAAAGCAATGGAAAAGCAACAAAGGGCAATAACTCTGTAATTACTTTAGATAGAGTTATGGTTCTTGTGCACTGCACTTCCCCTTATTGTGTTTGACAATTGTATGAAGTTGTTTTGAATTCCAACCAGTAGTTTTCAAGTTATGCCCCGGACAAGGAAAAGTAACAAAGGGCAATAACTCTGTAATTAGTCATGATAGAGTTATGGTTCTTGTGCACTGCACTTCCTCTCAATGTGCTTGACCATTGTATGTAGTTATATTGAATTCCAACCATTAGTTTTCAAGTTATGCTCCGGACAAGGAAAATGCAACGGACGTCTGGACCGACCGACCGACCGACCGACCGACCGACCGACCGCCCGACCGACCAACCGACCGACCGACCGACCGACCACCGAGTGACTCCTATATACCCCCCCAAACTTCGTTTTTGGGGGTAAAAAATAACATAACTTTAAATCCAGTGAAAAAACAGCAGATCATAACTTCATAATATATAACATGTATCTGCATACTTGTTCATAGTATAACCCTTATAGGCTGAATTCTTTAAGTGCAATTGTCCAGCTTCCATGCTTGGAATGGCCAATGGGGAATATGATGGTCAGAATGCATGTAACTGCAGGCTGACCTAGCTGTATACTGGTGGTAAAGGCTGACAGCAGGTTCAGGGCTATTATGAGGACAATAATATTTTTTTTTGATGTTTTAACCTGCTACTGTCTATATTATCAGCTGGATAAAGCCTTGCCAGATAAACTTACCTATCTCCAGTCATTATGTCATATGATCATACAGATGACATCACATGGTTAGCAGCAAAACTAAACTACATATAGATGCTGTTTTATTGAGGAAAGGAAAAGTAAGAATGAAACCATTTAAATAATCAAAAACATGATCAAAGTAGACTAAAACAGGATAAATCAAATACATGGTTGATTTCCAGATAGGAGAGGGTCTATCAATTCGCTGCGAAAGGGAATCTTGGCTCACTTAAGCTTGCCAAGTTACACTTTCTCGCTCACAGGATAAACCTTTTCCATCCAGACATGATCACATCAACCATGTTTTCTCTATTTATATATTCAAGGCTTCAAATGCAAGATTTTTACATTCATAACAATTTAAATATTAGTTATCACAGAAAAATCTTCAGGGAAGCAATTCATGTAAATCCTCGTTAAAATACTCTTTTTTTTGTATACTTATTTAACTCAAGATATAACCATCTTTTATAATGGTTTAAAGTTTAATTAGTTTAATTTCCTTGAATACCCATACAATGACTTTCTTAAGGTCAAAATATTGGTTAATGATTTCAGCTTATTTGGAAGATTTACAGAAAAGCTTGCCTGGATAATAAAACTAGATAAATTAATACAGGTTGAAGTTTTTAACCAAAAAAATGTTATACATACACATAATATAGTACTTTATTCACTTTACTTGACAATACCACAGCTTGAATACTACAATTTCAAATTCTTGAAGAAAAAACCTAAGGCAATTAAATGTTCTATTAATACAAAATATTTTTTAGTTATACTTAACTGATTTATAATGTACATGCCATTTTAGTCTAAAATCTTTATCTTACTAAAATAATGATCTAAAAAAGCTTAAGAGAGCATTCCTGCCAGTAGCCATCATTTCTATGCAGTCCAATTCTTAATGCAAAATTCTTAATGAATATTAACTCGCTCCTTTCTTGAAAAAGAATCACAGATTTTTCATGACACTATTCATACTGTGTTAACTATAGTTTTTTTAAAGATTAAAACATAACTTATCTTAACTTTATTTACTCAAAAGATGTTTATTTTCATTTAAAAAGAGAATGTACAGCAATTATTAGTATTTATCAAATATAAGACAATTGACATAATACAACTTTAAATTAATTTTATTTATAATACATTGTGTATTTTATTAAAAGTATTGTATGTATATTTGTAAAAACTTCATGCTATATTAACTTGTATTGTTGTACGAAGAAACATAACAAGCAATTACCATCACTCTGACTGGCTATTTTCCATCAAGGAGCCCTCCTACTGTGAGGGTTTATGCTCCTCAACATCATTCTGCCATCAGAATGGGTCATTAACTCTTACTCATGCCAAATGTACAACACCTATTAGATTTCCAGCAAGCTTAGCTATCTTTTCTCAGAATATTTCATGTGTGTGACGCTTTGTTGTTTCCCTTACACATTTTCTATCATACAGTTGCTAACCCGGATCAAAACCAGTTGTATTCTTGACATTTCCATGGCACTTTATCTGTTATACAGTTGTTAACATAACCAGATGTCTTCTTGATGTTTCCATTGCACTTTATCTGTTATACAGTTGTTAACATAACCAGATGTCTTCTTGACATTTCCATGGCACTTTATCTGTTATACAGTTGTTAACATAACCAGATGTCTTCTTGACATTTCCATGGCACTTTATCTGTTATACAGTTGTTGACATTACAGTTGTTAACATTACCAGATGTCTTCTTGATGTTTCCATTGCACTTTATCTGTTATACACTTGTTAACATAACCAGATGTCTTCTTGATGTTTCCATGGCACTTTATCTGTTATACAGTTGTTAACATAACCAGATGTCTTCTTGATGTTTCCATGGCACTTCATCTGTTATACAGTTGTTAACATAACCAGATGTCTTCTTGATGTTTCCATGGCACTTATCTGTTATACAGTTGTTAACATAACTGATGTCATTGTGTTGTTTATCCATACATGGTCATTGCTTGAATGTTAACTCATTACCTGCCATCATGATGTTCCAGAGACAGCTCAAAATTGCCTTTGATCCAATTTTTGTTAAACCTGATTCTATGCTTGCTGGAAATCCAATTTTATCTTTACATTATGAATCTAAAAGATAAAGAAAATAATTTGTTTACTTAAATATGTATAACAAGGGCCACTGCTGGACGAGGGCAACGCTCGACTCTTTTACTTTTTCTAAAAGCAAACAAATAAACGGTTTAAACAAATCTTTAAAAAAGAAAAAAAGTTTTTCCTTTCTTTAATTTTAATAGATCTTTCTAATATTACTTGTTTTGTTCAAGTATGAATCCTTTCCATAAATGTCAAGGTCATATTTACATTATTTCACATGTCTGTTTGGTCATATGTGTTATTTTGTCCCTGTATGAATCAAATCCATACATTAATAACAAAATTATGACAACTTAACCAAAATTCAATACTTTGACCTTGATGGTCAAGGTCATTTAAAGCTCAAAAAATATGATAAACAAGATCAACAAAAAAAGGCGGCGTTCAATGAACCCAATCCCCATATGACCCAGCAACAAGAACCAATGGCAAGGAGCCCAGGCGGACCCCAAACAAAAACAGGACAGGGCAAAGACAGAGCACGGACAGGCCAATCATTAAATGATAAATAATTTGTAACTGATTAGGAATTCAAAGAAAATAATAATAGGCCCACAAAGGGGAAGGGGACAGGAGACGGGGGGAAGGGGGGGGGGGGTAATCAAAGAAATAAAAACTAGAGGCAATGGGGAAGATACTTACCGTAGACGAGAAAACAACAAGGGACACAAGCTCAAAGTTAGTCTGTTCTTCTTGAAGGTCATGACCCAAGGGTTGTTGTGGCCAAGTATGAAGACAATAAACCCAGAACAACCTTTTAGAAGGTCTTGTCCAAAATGTTGCTTTGTCAAAGTATGAAGATAATCCATTTATTAATTACCAAGTTAGTCAATTATAGCAAAAATCAAAGAAAGTTCAATTTAACCTTCAAGGTCAAGGTCATAAAAGAGCCAAGGCCAATTTGAGTTTGATATACATCAAGATCTTATTCTAAAGAATGTTATGTTATAATATGAAGTCAACCCATTCATCAATAACAAAGTTACAGCCAGTAACAGCAAAACAATGAAAATTCAATAATTTGACCTTCAAGATCAAGGTCATTCAAGGTCTGTCTGGTTAACTTGAAGGTCTATCCTTAAAGATTAATATGGCCAAGTCTGAAGACAATCCATTTCAAATAACAATGTTATAAAATCAGCAAAAAACAAGCAAAATTTAGATATTTAAGTTTGAAGGTCAAGGTCATTTATGAATGAAGGTCAAAGTTAGTCTGTTCTTCTTGAAGGTCTTGACCCAAGGGTTGTTGTGGCCAAGTATGAAGACAATACACGTTATGATCAAGGTTAAAGTTTGCGAATGACAACGGCAACGTCGACATGTACAGTACCTCTTTTTTTTCCAAAAAAAAATCAAGCTAATTATTTAATTAACTGCTTATAAAGTTCTTTTAAGACTTGGCTATATGCAATCTCACCTTGACTTAGTCAAAGTTAAAATTGAATTGTTTAAAGCATCTACACAACCTACCTACCAAATGAATTTTTGTAACAGACAATTCAAAATCTTATATTGAGTAATATTGTTTGACAAACTATTGCCAAAACCTACAATCAATATTATGTTGACTTTATAAATGATGTAATATAACTTAATATGTTCTCTAAAATATTAAAGTGAACTGTAACAAGAGCCCATATGAAAATACTAATGAAAGTCTATAAATGATACACTGATACAGTAAGTAATTTCACAAACCTATGCTATTTAGGTACAAATTTCAAAGAGGCACTGAATATTCAGAAACGACTTTGGCCTTTCTTTGGTCCATCACCCAAAAATTCATGTCCAAGACCATTTCCACATTTTGCACAGGAAACCTGCAATTATGGAACTTCCATTTTAAATATAAAAATATGCTGGACAAAAAAGTTTATTAATAGTGTCAAACAAATGTTTTTATTTTCTGTTAAACTTAAAATGATGTGAAATATGTTCTCTCCTTCCTTGGTCTAACACAAAGATTTTGATATTTTACTTTTATTGTTTTCTCAGGCATGAAGAAATTGTTGATTCATTGTAACATGCTGATGATGAATGAAAAGTGAAAGCTAATCATGCTTAACTTTGAGTGCTAGAGCTTAATCAAAGCCCATTGCAACTTGACTTATAATACAATTACATACATAAACATATAATACTGTATAATATAAGGACGTCAGTGGCAGAGTGGTTAAGTTCGTTGACTTTAAACCACTTGACCCTCACTGATGTGGGTTTGAATCCTGACATGGACTTTGGACTCTTTCATCTGAGGGGGCAATCAGCTAGCTTATGTAACGTCGGTAGTTCTACTGTGGTGCCCGATTTGTGCCTGAAGGGTCACCTTAGGTCTTCCTCCACCAGTAAAACTGGAAAGTAGCCATATGACCTATACTGTGTTGGTTTGATGAAAAGTTCATCCTACAAAAAAACATATAATACCTTTAGTGCCCCTGGTGATTCTTGTCGTTTAGAAAGACAGTCTGGTGTAATAGGATCAAAAAATGCAGGCCATGGTGTTTGGTGCTCATACTTTTGAGAACTGTGAAATAATTCTGCCTCACAGTTGGAACATGAATACACTCCTGTAAACACAACAGATCATCATATCATTATATCTTTTGCAGTTCAAAATATGCCATGTATAATTATTCATACAAGGACATGATAATAAATGCTGCCAGAAAAATGGTCTCCTGCTGAAACATATGTCAACTTAAAACTTGTTTCAATTTGAATACAAAGCAAATTGTGTATTGCTTAAATTGCTTTAATGGTAAATTGATTTTACGGTTGTAACAAGACTTTGGTACAGATCAAAAATAGGCAGCTATTTCTAATATCTTATTGAATCTAGCTTGACTTGAATTTTGAAATCAATATTTACACTAGAGTTTCATTTTTATATTACATGTATTATCAAAATGTAGTAGATACACTGTAGTATGTTAATAGCTGAAAGAATTCTCTAACGAGCAGATATATTGACAGGTTAAATTTGACATTGTGCAATTATTTTACTCAATTTTCAGCGGATGACGGTGTAAACTGTAATGGCTGTATGACCTTTATAAAAACTAGGAGTTATTTGGAGCAATGAAACCAAAAAACATAGGATAACTCATAGCACGAAGTGGAAAAAAGAACAACTTTAAATATGAAGTTGTCAAGATGACTGCAACTTCAAGTGAAATTATTTCCTTTTCACTGATTTTATAAAAATATTGGAATACACTTTAAAAATATGATTGTTAATAAAAAAAGTAGAGTACACTTTATGATTGTTAATAGTAAGTAGAAGAGTTTTAAGAATACTCTGGAGGTAAGAGAAACTAAGATCTACAATATATAAATGATTTTGGACCAAACCCATTTTCAACAATTCATGCCTGTAGCGTGTATCCAAGAACCGTCGGGGGAGGAACTAGGAATGGGCAGAATAGTCTGACAATCATCTGAGTGAAGTCACAGTATTTCTACTTGTACTTGACACTCCTGAATAGTCAAAGAAGATTATGACTGGGTGGTGCTGTCAGGGAAAAACAGTATTAGTCAAAAATAATATAACAGTTTAAAGATAAAAGAACAGAGTGCAGTAATCAAAAATAAAATATTAGTCTTTCTGCTGGGACTAGATTGGATATGACCTGGGAGACTATTCCTATAGCTCTTGGACAGGATGAGTTGAAATGATACTGGGTACAAAACTAGGGTTTAAAAAACGGTCAGACGGTGAAGGCAAATACAATATGTCTTTGTGTCTGCCAAAAATTAAGACATAATAATGCAGTTAATTGTTTTAGAGTTTATACCATAGGCGGATAGTTTAAAGATGACTTTATGATGGTATACCTTATCAAATGCTTTGGAGAAGTCAATTACTATAACATTTAACATCAGTCTGTTGACTTTTGTCTAAACTGACAGTAAAGCTGACTAGTTCAGAACACTTTGACCTAAACCATGTCAGAGGGGGCGAGGAATATTATATTTATCAAAATAATTCATCATGCTGGAGACTGCAATATGGTCGATAATTTTTCGAAACAATACCGGTTAGTGAGGTTAGTCTGTAATGGCTGGGTTTTATCTTTGGGCCTTCGTGTACCCTGGGACAATAACAGTTTTTTCCAATCCAAGGGGACAATATTGGAATTATGGAATTTTACAAAGGATGGGGTCATTTCAATACACAAGGACGGGAGAGATTTCATAGGTCCATTTGCTTGCAGTGTGTAAGAACACACAATAATTTATCAATTCTTTCAACAGTAATGTTAATAGATTGTGTGTGACCTAATTAGAAACTTTCCAGCTCTAAGCAAATCTGTGTCATGGAAAGGGGTTTGGGCTGCAGAAGATTGATTCAAATAAGCTATTCAATTTTCATTATCAATGGGTTTTGTGTAAGTACTAAGTAACTCATTCACATCTGAGTGGGTGATACATCATACTCCAACACAGTTATCTGTAATTTTTTGAAGTCCTTAAAAAATATGTTGCAATGTAAAATTCTTAACAGAAATGTGTTCAACATCTTCATTTTGATCAAAATTATTGCACCAGGCCCAGTACCTTTATTCTATATACACTGTATTTGGATTTCATATTCTGTTTCTGGCATAAATACTTTGACAATTCTTTGACACTGAACATTATACTTTGAAGTTTCCTTTGAAAACTGAATGAAATGTTTGCTGACAGGTGTTGGCACAATGAATTGGATCATAAAGAAGTTATTTAACCTATTTTGTTTTATACTTTGGATAAGTAACATATTTTTTAAGGACTTGGAAAATTATGTGTTATATAAACATGAAAAAGGGGAAATAATTCTCACAAAAGTGACAGTTTCCAAATATTTTTCTTTCTGTTTAGGTTATACATTATGCTCAATAAACAAACAAAGTTTAAAAGAAATCTCATTACTTTTCTAGAAATATGATTTTTTATGTCATAAGCCCAATCCGGCATTTTCACTAGCCTGTTCAACGAGGCCCATAGTTTACAGCTGCAGATAGTCCAGGAAACGTTTGTCTTAGTTCCCTTTTCTTCTAGATAATTACCACAGATTATTTACTGGGCCTTCAAAATTCATAAATTAAACAGAAACAGAAAGTTGAGCAACAACATAATTTTTTATCCGAAAGGCATTGTATCCGAAAACATTACAAAAACACACAACCGTTTCTCACCTTTCTCGAAGTGATCTTTATATTTTTCACCGCCAAACCACGAACAAAAAGACATGTCTATTTGACAAGGTAGTAGATATAATTTAAAAATTATATATATCGATATATTTGTATATATATTAAAATTAGTGTACAATTACATAACGAGTCACATGCCAACTTATCACTGGTATACGGTACTTCGCATTGTGACCGGTATTACGGTTTGGGTGGTGTAATTTCAACCTAATTAAAGACACTTAAAAATACATAACTACTTAACGCAGAAATGGTTAAGGAAGAAACAAGCCGTTAAAAGTTGGCAGTCTAGTGACGTTCTTGTATTAAAATTCCTGTGTTGAAGGATTTTTTTTCACACTTACAATGGCAATCACTTTTCATTTAAATACAATTTTGAATGGATTTATTTATGCACAATTCTTGAACAGAAAATGTAGCTAATTTGATATTTGAGGACCAATTCCGCAGCTGAATTTATTGAAGTACTTAAATGTCCAGTGTTATTATCACTTGTTTAATAATACACAATTGACAGTGCACACAATTCACAGATTAGCCCAATTGTTGATGAAGTCTATATGCCTTATCAGCTAGGGTCTTTCAATTTTATTTGAAATACTCTGGCTTAATGAGGGTCCATTTGTCCAAAATGCAGCTTTTGCTTTCGAGTACGAACCCGGATATGTCGCCAGTCATGCCCTTTAAAGGCTTCATTTTGAAGCACAAAGTGGTGATAATATTTACCTTCATGCAACTACCACGGATCGAGTATTAGCCAAATATATGAATTTTGAGCAAAAAATAATTAAGAAGGTTACTGTACGACGGCCAATGAGCATCTTAATGTACAGTAATTTAAACATAGTTTATTTTTTAAAACAAGTATACACGTTAACAATCTACAAATAAAACTTAACAACACATGAAATGAATGAAAATGGATCAGAACCGAAAGCTGATGCTTATATATAGGTCTTATCCACCGATTTATATTACAATTGTTATTAAATTGCTAAGTGTTTTTAGTTTTATTTTAGCTCGAGTAGGCGCGTCAATGAAAAATGACTCTTTTTTTTTTCACTTTAAACGGTCTTTGTTTTGGGTATGTGATAAAAAGAATATTAAATTCGTGTAAGTTCATTACTGAATTTATTACACCAGAGGCTCGCATAATATGATTTTATTCAACTCGTGTAATAAATTCAGTATTTAACTTACACTCATTCAATATCCTATATCTAGAAGTATTGCCGACTAGAGAGAAAATTAAGATAATTTGGTGTACAAGATCGTGAGTCATCTTGTAAAAAAGTGTTAGCTTAATTGTGGGGTTTCCTTCGAGTATGGAGCGTTTCCCATGGTACTTCCTTCTGAAGTTCATGGAGAGAAACACGTTTTGTAGAACCAGAAACGATTCGAGCTGCATCGTTTTGGATTTTGTCTAGTTCTGTTTTGAGTTCACCTGAGCACAAAGTGATCAAAGATCACAATTTGTTTGGCGTCCATCGTCTATCAGTGCGTCCATCGTCAACTTTTTATTCAAACGACTTCTTCTCAGAAACCTCAGGGCCAAATTAAATTAAATTTTCCTGGAATGTCCCAAGCATGAAGCTCGATCTACACTAAAATAGTTCAAATGATTTGTTTTATTGGAATCTGAGTCAGAAGGGCTAAAATAGATTTTTGAAATCTTTAAAAAATTTCTTCTCTAAAAGTGCAATGCCTAGTCTGTAGCCAGAGATGATTTTGTCATTCTCTGCATATATTAAACGATGATTCTGTATTAAGTACGTTTAGTTATATTTATTATACACAGGTACACAAAATGTATGGGTTAAACTTTGTTCAAAGTAGGATATACAATGTAATTCATTATTAAACATATGCATGCATAATGCTCCGCAAACCGTTATCTTCTTAAACTTTACGGAGCAGGAACAAGACACTTTACTACCCCCCTGTCCCCTATAAGCACGCCCGTTTAACTCACAACGAGTGAAAAATGTCCAAGGTCTTGCCTAAAGGGGTGTTGTTTCAAAATATGAGTAGAATCCGTATACTAATAAGGAAGTTATGACCAATTTTTAAGTTTTTGGACAATTTGACCTTCAAGGTGAAGGTCATTCAGGGGTCAAGGTCAAAAGAATATAGGATAGTTGAAAGGCCTTGTCCAAAGATGTGTTGTGCCTAAACATTATGCCAGGACATTATGTTTTTGGACAATTTGACCTTCAAATTAAAGGCCATTCAGGGGTCAAGGTAAAAAATACAGGTCCGTAGGAAGGTGGTAAGTAATGTTGTGTTCAAATATGAATCAAATCCGTTTACTAATAAGGAAGTTATGGCCAATGTTAAAGTTTTCGGACAGATTGACGAACTGACAGACGGACAGTTCAAAACTAATATGCCTCCCTTTGGGGTATGCACAACGTCTTGCAAAGAAATGCTGCTGTGCAAAAACGTTTTAATTGCTGTGGTAGATTGAAAATTATATTTTCACCATCTGAATTACATATTAAAACTATACACGCACTGCGCTTGTCTTGCTCACAACGAGGTTATGGTGCTCGCAACGAGGATTAAAGCAAAAAAGGTATATCTTCGTTTCTATGAAGACTTTCAGATAATAATTTACGCTGAAGACTTGTGGGCATCTGTTTCAGGTTAGAATGCACAAAACGTCACCAGAATCGACGTTTTCAATGTTAAATTAGGTCCAAAGAGAAGTTGTCTCCAGTTTTCCAGCTACCCCGAGTGACTGCGTCGCACGGTATTTCCATCAAATTGTCCACCAACAGGCACTATCTTTACATGTGCATACTCGGAAAACACATCGCTAGCTAACTGCATTTCGATATTTTTACATAAATGTCTGTAATCTTCAAAAATTATGAAAAACCCACCTTGTTTATCGTGTCATACGTCAAAGATGGGTGCTCACAACGAGGAACGGAAGTTGCTCACAACTTTTTTACCGATGGACATTTTTCACTCGTTGTGAGTTAAACGGGCGTGTATAAGGATTTAATCATTTGAAACGGCCGAAAATGGATAAATTGCTCGTTTTGTTCAGCTAGTTCGTATGGAAAACGTAATCGTTAAAGCCTTTTAAAATTTTGATATATATGCTTGTTGTCGAGTAAGTTTTTTTCGAATAGCTGTAAAGCAATTTTTCGGGATACATCGCCAATGCTTACAGACACCTCACCCTAAGACACTGTACACTCTAGAAACCTGACACACTTTATCAAAAGGTGAAGTGTGGCGGCATTGCCGTGTGACTAGTAGCCTAATGATCGCTAGCCGCATGGGTTCAAACCCCGTTAGGCGCAAGCCGTTGTTTCCTTGAGCAAGAAACTTTACACTCATTGCTAAGTACGTACTGGTTGCTTCCAGGAACGGATTCGAAAGTGTGTCTATAAGCTTATAGCTTCCTACACAATCAAACTTAAATAAATTCTGTATGAACCCAAAGGTGAAATGTCCTCTATATTTAAGATTTGAAATTTTCATTATGTACATATAGTAATTAATTCGAAATACTCTGGAAATTCGCGAGAAAGGTTGTTTTGGTGATTTCTAGGGCAGTTTCGAATATAGGTCATTTGGGGTCGAAAACTACGTCACACAGCCCAAATATGGAAGAACCTCATTAACACTTTAGAGGCTACAGTTTTGATCCAAAACTCCTGGAAATCGATTAGAAAGTTTGATGTATTAGATGTATTTGATGGCATTAGATGTATAAATGTCACTGATTCAAAATATGTTTAAAACTTTATATTATTAAACATTACTATATTCTAGAAATAAATACAAAAATTACAAAAGTTTACCATCTGTTTGAAAAACATTGACGAATAAAGTTCAACTTTTGTTTCGGCTTTAAACAACAACAACAACAACAACAACAGTAACAACAAAGTTGTTTTCATTATCTGTAGAAAAGTTTCTCTTATTTGAAATTTTCCTTACTTTAGGAACTATACTTTTTAAATAACTTCAAATAAATCAATGTAATGTATATGGAGAGATTTTTTTGTTTGTACCTGTCATTTTACATCAAATAAGAAAAGGGTGGGGTATGAAAAACCGTCAGATTTTGTCAAATGTAATCGGGGGAATCAAATATTTTTTAATAATAATTATCTAGAAACTATTCTGAATTATTTGTGCAAAATTTAAAGAAAGTTTACCGTGTTGATTTTAAATAATAATCATTTTAATTCGTTATGCTTTCCAATTTCATACATTTCACAGTAAGAATTATACATAAAACTTCAAATTTTTTCTTAAATATTACAAATTTTAGATATAGATTATTATTAAGAAAGAAAATAATAATCTGACAAAACAAAAAGAAGAAAAAAGACAAAAATTAAAAAAAGATATTGCATCGTCTAGATGGGATTTGAATCCATGCCCTATCGAAACTCTGCAAGTTCAAAAAATGGCTCATCTTAGGTCAAAAAGTAGATCATATAGCCCAAATATTGAAAATACAGTCCGAATATTGAAAAGCCTCGTTAAAACTTTAGAGGATAGTTTTTTGGTCGAATTCTCCTGGAAATTGGTCAGAAAGGTTGTTTGTCTAGGCAAGATAGGATTTGCACAAATTGTAATATGGAATGGTCGAAAATGAATATCATTTAGTTTGTCCCAAACACACAGTTATGAGAAATAAATATCTAAAACATTATTACTGTAAATGGCCTTCATTAAAACAATTGAATTTTTTTATTAACAACGTCACCTGAAGAATTAATTGGTTTAAGCAAATACATGTATATATGTTTGTTTTGCATTTTGCGATAGACACAGAATTTTATTTCATCCTTATACTTCCTGTGCTAAGCTTTGTTTATGGTATTTTCTTGTATTTGAACTTGTACCACTGTTAACATTATTTCATGTATAGGTATAATGTTGTTATAACATTTGTGCAAATAAAATGTTGTTGTTGTTGTATGATTTCTAGCTCAATTTCAATTATAGTTCATCAGTGGTCAAAAACTAGGTTACGCAGTCCAAATAAGGAAGAACATTGCTAACACTGTAGAGGATACTGTAAATAGGTCCAAGTTTCCTGGAAATTAGTCAGAAAGGTTGTTTAGATGGTTTCTATGTCATGTTTGAATATGGGTCTTCTGGGGTGAAAAACCCAAATTAT